CAATAATTATAAAATATTTTTAAAATATCAGTGTTAAATCTTGGTCTTGATATGTTTAATGTTGAACTGATGTTTTTTGTATATGGTAAATAATAATCGTGGCCTTTATCACCTAGTTTCTCGAAAGTATATTTACATAAATGTTGTGCTTTATAAGTGGGTTACTTTGATGTATTTTCTGCTTTCATTTTTAGATGCAAAGTTTCTGTTCCCAAACTTGATTGTATAATATATACCGTAAACCTCCGACTATAAGCCCTGGGCTTATATACTTTCGTAAGCGATTTTTGATGGGCTTATTACACAAGGGGGGGGGGCTTATTACACAAGGGGGGCTTATTATACAAGGGGGGGCTAATACATGGACGATCTTTTGTGTTAGTAATAAACAAGTCAGACATAAACAAGTCAGTCATAAACAGGAAAATAAACATGTATTAATAATAGATTAACTATTGATTTGATTAACATAGTCAGCTATATCGTTCTCTGCTATATTAAAAGACAATGTCAATGTTGAATAACGTAGTGGGCTACTGGGCTTATATTCGGGGGACTTATATTTGGGGGGCTTATATTCGGGAGGGCTTATATTTGGAATGAGGTAAGCATTAGTATATGTGGTGGGCTTATATTCAGGGGGGGGGGGCTTATAGTCGGAGGTTTACGGTATGCATCCTCAGAAACAACTTCAGCATATATTCCACAGGAAATGTTAGGCAGTGTTGGAATGTGATGGATATGCCATTGTGGATTTTGTATAAACTGAAAGGTTTTCACAAAGCTGTCCTCCAGGTTCAAAATATAGTCAAGGAAACACTTGCCTATACAGTATGGGATCGCTGCGGTGCTGGTAATGCCTCAAGTCTGGAAAAGCTTTAATGGCGTGCTGCTAGGATTGTGTCCAGAATACCCGAGAGTGATAAAGCAATGAACATGTTGAAGTGGCCTTCTCTGCAGAGCAGGCGAGACGACAACATTTTTAAAAATTATTTTACTCTTAACAGCTCGGTACATAGTAGAGTGACTAGGCAGAGTCATAAACTGCACTTGCCTCGAGTACGAACTGAACAGGCAAAGAAATCCTTTTATTACAACGGTTGTGTTGTATATAATAATAAGCAAAAATAGTTTTATTCTCTAGTATATATATATATATAGTATATTGTTTTAATACCTAATTGTCATATAGCATGTAAAGATTGTATTTTTTTTTAAATAGTAGGGCTCCAGTTGATAGCAGTAGTTTTTACTACTGATTGGACTACCCTGTTTAAATAAAGGTGTCAATCAATCAATCAAATGCATGTGTAATCCTCCAGAAGCATTGCTGCTGGTATCCAAATTCTTCAACTCCAAAGTTTCTTTACATCAGGATCGACATAGTCAGTATGCCTCTGATAACTGCAGTACATCATGCATTGAAAGAAAGATGCAACATAGTTCCCTTATTTAAAAAAATGTATAAAGAAACTTTGGAGTTGAAGAATTTGGACACCAGCAGCAATGCTTCTGGAGGATTACACATGCAGTGTTTCCACACATGCAGTTTATACAAAATCCACAACAGTTGCTGGTGAGCTGCTGAAGCTCCTTAATTGCATATCCATCACATTCCAACACTGTCTAACATTTCCTGTGGAATATATACTGAAGTTGTTTCTGAGGATATATTATACAATCAAGTTTGGGAACAGGAACTTTGCATCTAAAAAAAAGAAAGCAGAAAATACATCAAAGTAACCCATTTATAAACCACAACATTTATGTAAATATACTTTCGAGAAACTAGGTGGTGAAGGCCACGATTATTATTTACCATATATAAAAAACATCAGTTCAACATTAAACATATCAAGACCAAGATTTAACACTGATATTTTAAAAAGATTTTATAATTATTGCCATTGAACAGAACGGTGTATTTGTCAGGAGTCATTGTTTATACTGTTGCATATAGCACACGATTTTATCACAAAATTGTGTAAAAATAACTCCAAGAAAGAACATAATATAAACGTAAATAGCCGGGAAAGTTATATCTAACGACATTTTTTTAGATATCCAACATATCATCCATTTACATGAACAGTTCCATTAGCACTTTATATGCGTATCTTGCGTCCACATTCAGCTCACTCTTACGAACGATTTCAATCACTTTAAATACAGTTCTTAATCTCATAAATACAAAAATACACTCCTCTTACCTTCCCCTTTAATGTACTATCCACAGAAAATACGATAAAAGACAAGATCACGAAAATTTTCCATTTTAATACTGAAAATACACTTCTCGCCAATACATTTCCCTATTATACTTGCTGCAATCTACTTGCCAGCAACATGGCGGCCGTCAATTTCCGGTGCGAGGCGGCAGCGTCAAAAACATCAAAGGAGTGGGCCATCTATTCATTCTTTAATCTATGACGTTACTGTGTAACGGAGTAAACAATTACACTCGCAATTACACAATACAGTACTAGTATAAACTATTATGCAAAGATGAACAATCACAATACTCAATACTCAATAGGCGCTAGCCTCCTCCGCAGGCATCTCGTAGTTCACGTACTTCAGAAAGTCGGTGAGATGCCTGCCAAAACCCGACATGGTTGAGCCGTTCTGCGCATCTTGCTTGCGCAGCGATTTCGTCTCTAGGGTATGCACGTGGGGGAGAATTTGTCATCCAAGATGGCGGATTGCATGGAGTGAAGAGTTATGAAAATTAGTGAATTTATATTAATACGCTCGCTAAAGGCGGCTAAACGATTAAGAATACAGCTCTTGTGGACAATTGAAAGAATCTTAACCCGGAAATTATAATTGTCATCAAATAATTTACATGTTGTCAGTTGACATACATTTTTGTATATCTGTAAATGGAAAACATCAAGGTTGACGTATATTTTTGTATAAGCTGTAGATAGAAATATAAATCTTGTTGTAATCTTTTAAGCACTATAAAGATAGACTTTGTGTTAACATCACAATGAAATGCATTTAATTTCATAACTGAATATTTGCGAAGAAAATAAGGAATTTATGTAATGTGATTTATCAAAGTAAAATCTACTTTATCTAAAGTAGTTTAATAACCAGGAAACTAGAATTATTAGGAAGGTGTTAAGCCGTTAAGGGAATTTACTAATACTATAAGCTTGGCGCCGCCATATCTAAAATAGAGCATGCATATTGTCACGCAATGTGGGTGAGAGGAGTGGTGCAAACCTTATATAATGGACATCTACACTGCCAATCGTCAGTATCGACTACAACTGCTGAGAAAGACATTTCATATAATATTTTTTGGTATCAATTATAGTTGTTTTGTGTTTTAAATAATTGTTAATGTCTGGCTGGCATAATTATTTAAAATAGTACAATTATCATGTACAGTTAGTTCAACCTATCTGTTCATGGTTGTTAGAAGCAGGACAAAATTACCCTACATATGATGTGTAGAAATGTAACAAGATAAAATATATTTCAGCTTGATAATTGTGGACCCATTATTAATTGAAACCAAGGCAAGAGCCAGATTGATTTGAGTGAAAAAGCCTTGTCGAAAAATTTATAAATATGCTTATATTAGTCTGGAAAATTTTTTTACCCCCCTGTCGACAACATTTCCGGGTTTACGACTTGGTCAAAATTTTATTAAATATTGATCAAAACGTGACGACACCCCCCCCCCCCAATGTTGATGGCTTAGCGACGCCCCTGCTTACTATACTATGTCTTGTTTCATGTGTGCACTAGTGTCCAGTACCTGCATGGTGTGAATTGCATTGTACAATCCAGCAGTTAAACAATAACATGGTAGATGATAATTATAATAATAATTTTTTAATTTTTTTTTAATCCAAATGAAGATGTTGAATTGTCAGGATTTCTATGCAAGAAACTAGGTGCTATTTTGCATGTCTGAGATGGAGACTAAGTTGCTGCATCCTAGAAAGTGTGAACAGCAAGGTTTACATTGTACAATTAGCAGCTTCAAGGCTACAACACATGGACAAGCAACCATTGTCAATGACAACATTGATCAAGCATGTCATAACCTGCCAGATAAAATAGTGACATAATTGAACATGGCCAGCATTTTGTTCTGCTGACACCTTCTTTACAATATAACATGTTTTTAATGGATGAAAATGGGATAAAAAAATAAAAGTAGTGTAAACTGTTGTCTATGCTCACAATTTCCCTGTGACTTATTTTTAAATCACATCCCCTTTTATCAGAAATTGCATTGCAAGTTGCAGATTTACTAGAGGGGGGTGCACCCTCCAAGCCCTGACGGGAGAGGGTGAAGGGGGTGCTTTTTTCATGATAAAGCAAAAAATAATAGAGACAAAATGAGATACAGTAATTTGAGCAATAACATGATGATAAGCAAACTGTGAACA